TCTCGATAGCTTATGCCTTTGTCAGGTAGGCAGAAATGTTAGAATTAGATTAACATTATTGGACGTAACATTTATGTACTCTTTATTTTATTTTATTTTTCTTTCAATAAAAGAAACTTTAGAACGGCTTTAATAGTTTAGGCTATAGATACGGAATTTGGATCCTCTCCACTACAAAAAAAAAAGTAGTGGAGAGACCACTACTTTTAATTTCAACCGTTAATTATCTAGTGGTCGGTTGTCATAATGTAAATATAACACCCACCATACCCCCATGTATTTGCACTCATTCCTAATTTGCTCTCAAAGGAAAAATCGCAACGACCCGCTAATTAATTAACGGTTGTGATTATGTAGTGATCCGTCAACTACTTTTCTGACTACTTTTCTGATAGCGGAGAGGATCCGAATACATAGATATGTATTTCATCTGGCTGTATGCATATTTTACTATGTAACAGATTTAACAGATCCCAGCAGTGTCCATCTTATTTTGATAAATGCTTTAGTTTCTAGAGCACAACTTTCTTGCTTTCATGTGCAACTTCATTTTATACTGTAATTACTTACTCTTGTTGAATTGTCATGGTGCTAACTGTTGAAATTTTGCTCATTTTCTGTTCTAAATGCTTAATCCATTCCCTATTTCTTATAGTGACAAATTAACTTCTACTGACAAAGGCACTGTTTGGCAACAAAAAAAAGTGTCTTATCTAAGAGCTTGTGTCTTATTGACTTGGTCAATAAGCTAGTAGAGCTGTTTGGTGACCAAAAATAAGAGGAGATTATTTTGAAGATTGTGTCTTTTGCAAGTAGCTTTTGGAAAGCTATCTCAAGTAGCGTTTGTCTTTGGGAATGAGCTGCCAATTTTTTTCTTCCGTTTTTACCCCTAATAATTCTAATTTTATATCAATAATATTGCATGTCTTTTTTAGTCATTTAACAAATTTAAGCTAGTTGTACAGTTACTTTTGCCAAACAGCTCTAGTCAATCAGGTAGCTACACAGCTAACAGTTTTCAGCTATAATTTCACAGCTTTCAGCTAGCTTAACAGCTTTCAGCTATAATCTCGTAGCTTTCAGCTAGTTTTGCCAAACAGAGCCAAAAACTGGATCCTTATCAGTACACCATGATTTAAGTGTTTCATGTGGAAAGAGGATCATCTGTGGAACATTACTTGATTCTGTCTTTTGCTATTAGCCTTAAATTTTCATGAGTTGGTGACAATAATAGCTAAAATAGTCTGTATTAAGATAGTGTCGGCTATGGATCCTTGAACAGTTTCATGTCTGGATGCCAAAGTTCTGTCCAATATTTAAACAGTAGGTAGTTGATTGGTGTTTTAACTAAGCTCATGTAATCAAAGAGACACTTTGTGAATACGCTTTCTCCAGTTAAGAGACTAATAAAGAGGCCTGATGATATGATTTTTGTATAGGTATTAGAATTCATAACTACCAGAATCACATCCCTATGATGTGAACTGAATTATGTTTATTGCTTATTATGTCCAATTTGTGCTAATATTTAGTAGCTGTAGTATGTTCAGAGTTAAAATCGTAAAGATGGGGTAATTATTTATTGTTAGTGATTATTCTAAATTCCTGTGATTCTGTAATTATTTCTCAAAAGGTAAGATCTAGACTATTTTTTGTTTATCTTTCTTGTAATTTTTATTCTTATGAATTCTGATATAATGGATTTATTTTATTGGTGTTGTGTTATATGGATGTCGACCCAATTTGATCAGCCAAATTATATTCCGAGGCTTCATCTTTATATTCTGTTTTGTGATATCAATAGTACACTCTGGTGGTGCCTTTTGTTTGAGGGGGTTTTTTTCCCCTTTCATGAAAATCATCTTTAAAATAGGTTGAATTGATGAAATCCAACTTTAAAGTTTTTTCGTATGTAAACCACCTTGTAAGTCGGTTTAGTTCTCAATCAACCTTTTTTTATTTTAATTCTAGTCAATTAATGTCCAAATAGTCAAACTGTCCTCATTAATTAATGGGTGGTGCTACAGGGATCCAAAAACATAGGACCTTATATGGGACAAGTGAGTTATCGGCTCCCTGTCCCATGATGCACTGTTCATGTAGGGTAATTCATGAACAGTGCATCATGGGACAGAGAGTAACACCTCACGTGTCTCATGTAGGGTCTCATGTTTTTGGGTCCCTAAGGCATTTTTCTTAATTAATTACATGTGTTTCCCAATTACACATGTAATTAATGATGGAATAGAATTAATAAAAGGTGGTAGATTGAAAATTAAACTCACTTATAAAGTGGTTCATGTATAGAAAAGCTTTAAAGTGGTTTTATGGATTCAACCTATTTTAAAGGTGGTTTTCATGAATACACAGGCCAGAGCAATGCCTACATTGTCCAATACTGATTGTTTAAGTTGTTTATAGCTAATTCACTAACTCCAAAGGAAAAGCTTTATATATTTCAGATAAGTTACTTGGACTGTTTAAGCTGTTTATACCTAATCTTCTTCTCACTTGGACTGTTTTGATGTTCAAAGAAAGTTTCCTATTCGCTATGTTCAATTGAGGATTCTGAACATGTCATAACTTATTAATGGATTTAAAGTAGACATTACAATTTTCATTAAAATCAAACAGAAACTATAGGATTTAATCGCAAAAACTTGTTTTGTAATTTTAGAGATAACAAAATAAACTATTGTATTACATAATCGACTCGTACTAGAATTCAGTATGAGGTTAGAACAGAAAAAAAAAAGAAAATTGTTCCGTCATTCCATCATCTCTCACTCAACAAATTACGTTTTCTAGTCCCTATTGTTGCACGTTTGAAAATTTTATATCTTTTGTGAATGGGAAGACAAAAGTTTCACCGAGCACGATCTTAAAAAAAATCATTTTCTTCAAATAATTGAAAATTTTCAAATAGAAATTTTCTTCAAATCATTTTCTCGAATATTACGTTGTTATTCTAATCTATTCTAATTATCCTATCTTCTTTGAATTTGTAATTAAATAATTTATCATGTTCATAATGAGACTTAGCATGTTATTGGATAAAGGAGATACGTTTGATATAATTCAAATCCTTTACTTATTTCAGTTCGTAGAGAAATCTAAAAAACATGTGCTAGCCAAACACCTAAAAGTTTTTAAACTTTGTAAAAAATATCCATCAAGTTTTTAAATTGTAAAAACATCTCTACAAATTCAAATTTTTATTAAAACATCTTGAAAATTATAGATTTTACTTATTTTAATTTAGTAAAAAAAATAAAAAAACATATGCTAGCTAGCAACTAAACATTTTTTAACTTTGGAGAAAATATCTTGTAAATTTTAAAAATTATAGAAACACCCCTAAAAATTCAAAATTTATAAAAAACACATTAAAAACAAACAAATAACACAAAAACCCCAAAATTTATGGTATTTGTAATAAACACTCTAAACTTTTTACAAATTATAAATGAAACTCCTAAAATTATAAAATTTATAAAAATCTTGATAATTTCCAACTTAACAGTACATTGAAAATTTAGGAATTATAATTATCTCTTATGTAATTTATACTTTAATAAAACACCCTTAAAGTTTTAAAATTTACAAAAAACCATCCAAATTCAAATTTTATAAAAAAACACCCTGAGAATTTCAAATTCATTAGTAAATTGAAAATATTAGTAATTATAAATAGTCTATAAATAATTTATAATCTATAGAAAAGGCGTATAAGTTTAAAAAATTATAAAAAACCCCAAAAATTCATAATTTACAAAAATAAGAATTTTTAACCTATAGACACTAAAATGAATATACAAAATTACTAACAACCCCTAGAAAATTAAAAATTTGCAAAAAAAAAAAATATGCTCTCTTTAAAAGTATAGGTTTAGAAAAAACCTTTCATGGTCAATGTCACCCATAATTTTTTTTGAAAAGAACACAACTAATTAAAAATCTATTAAGTTATGAAATTTATATAAAAAACACCCTTAAAGCTTAGTACATTACAAATTACCCCCTCTAAAGTTTAAAATTTTTAATAATTTTTTTGTAATTTCTTAATTTCAATGTAATATTTAATAGTTTTGTGTATTTGTAAATTACAAAATTTTGGGGTGTTTTTTTTTATAATTTTTAAAACTTTTGAGATTGTTTCTCTTATAGTTTTCTAAATTTTTATTGTATTTTCAGTGTAATGCATAGATACATCAATTAATAATGATATTGAAGTGTAAGTCATTCTTAATATTATTAGGTCATAGTTAAGTACACACGTCACTATTCCTAGGCAGTATAGTTTATATATGCAAAAAAATCAGACAATCTATATAGTGGTTAAAAGGATTTTGTCTTTAATGTACTATATTTTATAAATTATAGTTAATGTGAACTCTCCATATAGTTTTAACTGTGGTAATCATAATTTTAATACGTTTGTGATTGATTGTATAAGTATATAGTGTTGAATATCATATCTCCATAATAGTATTTTGATGATAACAATTTATACAGTGTGTGCACTAACTTTAATATGCAGATTTCAATATCAGAATATGAACAAGTGCAAGATGTTTTCAAGGCATTATGAAGTGAAGAAAATAAAGAACAGATGAGATAATGTATTTTACATTTTCTTTACTTGGAATTTTTGTACAAGCCTTGATCACACACACGCACACACACACAAAATTAGAACACACTAACACAGGTTTAGTGTGTTGGTTAACTATAGAAATCTCCTATGTTAACCATTAGAAATATAGTTAAAACTTAAGTATAAAAATATTCTATATCACAATTTTTACTCTTAGTAGTCGACTAATTAGAAGAATAGTCGACTACTCAAGCATAAAACTCAAATACATGTTTCGGTCAATTTACAGTATAGTCTGTTTTCAGCGAAAGTTGACTCCATTGTCGATTCCATTAAACTTTGATTTGTTTACACGAAAT